GTAAATATCTCTTTTCACTTTATATTTTCTTAGTCGTAGTAAGTGAAACTTTGCTAGCTACGAAGGAATTTTTCATAAGTGGTTGTGTCAGTTGTTTATATTTTTAAGTGTGCGATACTCTTAAGATATCGAGTTTGGTTTGTGAGATAGACCTGTCATAAAATCTTTGTGGTTGGTTTCTTAAGCTTTGTCGAAAAAATATTTGCTTTGGTTATTAAGATATGCCATATATCTTTAATCAGTTAGTTAGCTTAGCCTGGGGTAAAAGCTGTCAGTGGTTGCGGATAAGCCTGTAAAAATCTCAAGATCAATTTTTATTAAGGTTTATGGGCATAACCTTTAAAATCTTAAAAGTTTATAGTCAAAATCTCAAGAGTACCTTTTGGTGACAGGACCAGGCCAACATTCGGCAAAACATGTATGAATCTCTGGTGCAATCTTTCTAACCATATCCTATTATTTTATGCAATTTACTTTTAGTATTTTTACTTTTGGTGAAAATTACTCACCTAAAACTACTAATAAGATCTTAATGGAGAAAGGTTTAAAAATTAGTCACGAATTTTGAAAACCAAAATTCATCATTCTTTTGTGCTTGAAGCTACTTGTCCAACATGTGGCATCAGAGCCTAACTCCTATTTAGAACTAATCGTCTCAGGATAAATAATGTGTTTAAGTTATTCACTAACCAAACCTCCACCATTCATGGGAGAAGGGTATACTTTGTAGGAAGAGAAAATGAAAATTTTCATAGAAGGGACGAATCGTGGTATATGGATGGACGTGAAAGAATGACCATTTGTCCTTACACACGAAGTTAATAGTGTTGTATTATACAAACTTGAAAATAATTTGTCCAAACATAATAAAGAGAATATACAACATGGTTTGAAAGCTAAGAATATACTAGCTACCGAACTCAGTCTTGATGAGTTCCTACGAGTTTCTCGCTGCAAAACTACTAAAGAAATGTGGGACATCCTCCAAATTACCTATGAAAGCAATATTGAGGTAAAGAGGGCATGGTTGGACAATTTAACCCATGAGTATGAACTCTTAATGGGGCCAATTGGAAGCCTCAAAGATGCAAGATTGAAGCAACAAGGTAACATATGATCTCCTCGAAGAGAAATAAGGGAGTTCTGTTTTTGCAGCATCGTCAGGCGGTGATGAGGCGATGACAGGGCGCTGTGATCGTCAGGTGATGATGTCTGGGCATATTTTGTTTATATTTCTTTTTCATTTCATTTGTTAGGGTTATGGGTTTGGGGATAGTTTTAGCTCCCAAATTCATCAACCCTAATTTTTCCTTAGGGTTAGCTTAGAAAACAACATTGAAGCTTGCATACAGATGATCTCGGGTGGATTTCTCTTCGATTGGCGCTGACAAATCGGGAGCTTTATGGTTCATTTCTCTTTTTCTTTGTGTATTCTTTATTTTTTGGGTTTTTTATATGTATTTACTTTGAACTAATGTATATTTGTCGCCCATGGCGTTGTATAAAACTTGCTTGTCAATTGTTGTATTGGATTTTTGCTCTGTGCTTAGGGGTTTGGGTTGCTATAGGCATATACTTCTCTAATTCTTATCTGGGATGGTTATCTAATAGTTTCTAGATTCTAGAGATAGATTTATAACTATTATTCACTTGGGTGTCTGTGATTAATGCCTCTGTGTTGGTTGTGTTGTGCTTAGAGATCGTCAACGTAATTGTCACGATTAACTTATGTGTTGTAGAGGTTGGTTGAGAGATCGCCACCGATGTGATATAGTGGGTGTTGTATTTGACACGTGATGACATTGATGATTCTTGTATGTTGAGTATAACTAGTCGATAAGTTTAAGTTTGTGAGGAGTGGATTATATGCATGCATGATAAGTTTCTCCTATCTGAATAATGTATTTATTTTCTGTTGATAGGTTATACCTTTCTTTAAAAACATCCCATTCAAACCCAAACTCATTAATGAGAAATTTTTCGAACGGAAATTCAGTAGCACTAATCCCTGTGGAGACGTTACGATAAAACTAAATACTTACTTACTTTTGCTTGCCGCTTTACTGCATCACCACTAAGAAAACTAATCGAGTGAATATTTCTATCCTACTTTTTTCAACAACTTTTATTATGAAATCCACTTGATGTTGGATCTCTCACAACAACAAGTTGTTATCTTTTTCTAAGTCGATCAGTCAAATAAGCATATTTATAACACATTAACACATAATAAAACAAGGAATTATCATCAAATCATTTAACATAAAAACAACATAATATTAACTTCTCATTGCTCAACAAACAAAATGTTTAGCTCATGATGAGTTGAATACACATTACAAAACTAGTTCTAAAAGGAAAACAAAAGATGAAAAAGAAATAACAACCTAACATTAATGTGAAACTTCCATGTGATTGATAATCAACAAGTGATGATCTCAACCGCGCCAGGATTCAACACTAAGCATTGGATTGGTGAGAAGAAGAACCTCTCTTTTCTCTCCACTTTTCCTTACACTCTATTCTCTCTATTTTTCTTCAAGATGTTGAACTCTATTCTCAATCTTTAACAATGTATATTTATAAGCATCCAACTAGGGTTATTTTTCCTTTGTCTTGGATCACAGGCCCTTTAAGGAATCACATTAAGCCTAACATCAATTTTAGCATAATCTCTTCATTCCTTTGCTTCGCTAGCAAGAAATCAGGTACAAAGACAATTATGGGGGACAAGGTGTAATGTGACAGTCTATAGTGGCAAAGGTGCAGTTGGCACTGCCCTTTTTTACATGGAACACTTGTAATGGGCATACTATGTACCCTTTTATCCTCTAATTCCCATGGTCTTAACCATTTAATTCAAACATCTTTCTTCCAATCAAGTAACAAATATTCCTTCCAAAGCAAATTCTCTTCCACGTATGCCCTAGGAATTCAAATGGTTCCATAGTTTCACCCATTGAGTTATTTTCATCTTTTTTGCTTTGTTTTAAACTCCCAAATGTTGTCCCCAACTGTCTTTCCTCAGCTCATCAGAACTAACCTTTAAATATGCAATAAACACATCAAAACTACAAAAGAGAGCACCTATAGTGCTCCAAGCGAATTACTATAAAAACAGATAAAATACAATAAAACAACTACAAAATAACAAATCAACTAACTAAAAACAAAGATTAGTGCATAAAATAACTCAAAAATATGGGTTATCACCTTGTGACTCTTATTCTTTGAATAAAAAGTTGAGTAGTTATTTATGAGTTCTATTGAGTTCTGGGTAAACCTTATTGAGTGTTGATGCATTGTTGATGCTATTTTCTACCCTATTGATGAGAAATTTTTAGTTGTAATTATATGGGAAAGGTCCTTCTATATTTGTTTTAATAATGTCAAAACATCTATTGCTTTCTCTTGATCTGGGTTGGTTCTATGGACAAACTTGCTAGTGGAATGGTTGGAATGAAGATCTCTAGAAACATTTATTTTTGGGAGATTTCACTGTTTGCATCGACTCGAGCTAGAGTTAGGTCGACTCATAGCTTAAAGAAGATCAGTCTATCAACTCAGATCTGCCTACGTCAACTCTACTGGTCGACTCATATTGGGAGAGAAATTCTCACTGTTTGCATTGACTCAAGCTAAAGATGGGTCGACTCATAAATTGAAGAAGATCAATCCATCAAGATCGGGTCTGCTCGCGTCGACCCTTCTGGTCGACTCACACTGGGAGAAAAATTATTTATGTTTGTGTCGACTCATGTCCTGTTATGGTTGATGCATTTTTCCTCAAAGGTCTTCCTACAATGCTCGGGTGTGCTCGCATCAAGTGGGACTTCTACATGAGTCAACCGCTCACTTCTTGCACTCTATTTTTTTCTACATATTTGGTCTTGACTATTTGGTAATATATATATATATATATATATATATATATATATATATATATATATATATATATATATATATATATATATATATATATATATATATATATATATATATATATGTTTATATTGGTTACCATACAACATTGTGGTTTAACAAGAAAAAGAGAAATATATACACCAACTTTTCATCATCTTCATCCTCTCATTGCATTCATCAACAATCACACAAAACATTTTTTTTTGATTAAAGTGCAGAGTTGTGGTGATAACGTTCAAATTGAAGATTGATTTTAGATTTGGTTTGAGAATTGAGTGGGTTTTTTCTTGACTAAAATCGTTAGCGTTTTGTCCTCTAAGATTCAGTTTGGTGCAGGGGTTTTTGCACAAGTCTGTGCTTCATTGAATTTAGCCTAGTGAAAGGGTTGAGAAATTGTGGGTTTGCTCAATCATGTACCCTTAATTTTGTGAAGAAATATTTCAGGTCAAATTTCTTATGAAGAAATCGGTCGAGTGAAATATTTTTATAATGAAGAGTTCGTGTAATCAAGTAGCGGCAACCAGATATTTGTTCGAAGAGATTGGCATACTTGGTTTGGCTTGAACCAAGGGGAGAGAAGGGAATAGTTTCATCATCAATAATTGGTTTGTATGTAGTGAAGACTATTGCTTCTCTTTTAATACTTTGCAACTTAATATCATATATCTCAATTCTAGATTTTAGAATTGGGGGCAGACGTACCCTACATGAAGACAACAACGGGAACTGCCTTAAGAAATCGTGTGTTGTTTCTCTTTCCCTATCCTTTTATTTTCGTTTGTTATAATTTGTGTGATATTAATTGTTCAATTCATTTTACCATGAATGTAGTGATTCAAACTTAGTTTACAATAATCATAGCAATCACTTTGATTGTTATCAAGGAAAGTTCATCACTACAATTAAGTAAAATTGAACTTGTTGTATTTTTGCACACCAAGTATTTGATAAATTG